AGAAAGAAAAAAGGAACAAGGGAATAGAGAGAGAAAGGAGGGAGGGATGGAGAGAAAAGGAAGGAAGGAAAGAAGGAAGGAAGGAAGGAAGGAAGGAAGGAAGGAAGGAAGGAAGGTTGGTTTCTCAACTCTGCTGGCTGGGAGGGTTCTGGGAGTTGAAGTCCACCCATCCTCAAGGGGCCCATGTTGAGAAACCCTGCCTTTAAGGCAAAGGCATATTTTTTAAAAAATAAAATAAAAATCTGGGTTTTGGGGGGGGAAAAACCATACCTTGCACAGAGCCTTGGCCATCTCAAAGGTCCCCACAGTGTCCATGTTGGCCGCGATGATGGGTATCCCCGTGTAGGTCTGCTTGGAGTTACGGAAGGTGAAGGACCTCATAAGGTCCACCTAGAACAGACAGGAGGATCCAGGGGTGGCCTTCAAACATTTTAACCTCTGGTTCTCTGCCCGGTTGATGGGTGGGCGTGCCCATGGTGGGCGTGGCCTAGTCGGCCTCCAGCATCAGGGGCATTTTCACCCTCCCCAGGCTCAGGCGAAGGACCGGCCCGCGGTGCCAGTCTGCCCACGAAAACGGACCTCAGGAGGGTCGCCGCTGCCCACCCACCCCGCAAGGCCGGCTCCGTTTTCCTTGGCAGAGGACTAGCAAAACAAACTAAAAACCGAACAAATGGAGAAATGATTCCCCTTCGGCATTTGAGCACGCAAGAAGGGACAGGTGAGGAGAAAAGGACAGAGGAAAGATAAAAGAAAAAGGTGGGAAGGTGGGAAGAGAGCAAGGAAGGAAAAAGAAGGAAAGAGGGGAAGGGAGAAGGAAGGAGAAGGAAGAAGGAAGGGGGGAGGGAGGGAAAGAAAAAAGAAAGGGAAGGAGAGAAAAGAAAAAAGAAGAGAGAACAAGGAAGGCAAAAAGGGAGGGAGGAAGGAAAAATAAGGAAAGAGGGGAAGGAAGAAGAAAGGAGAATGAAGAGGAAGGAAGGTGGGGAAGGAAGAGGGAAGGAGGGAAGGGAGGAAGGAAGGAACATGGAGAAGAAGGAAGGAAGGAAGGAAGGAAGGAAGGAAGGAAGGTTATAATGAGAGTGAGGGTGGCTCTGAGGAAAGTCTTGCCTTAGAATTTGGCCACCATAGTGATATCAAACTGGCCACACCCACCCTGGACATGCCTACCCCAGCCACGCCCACCTCAGTCCCCCCCCGCCCCAGGTCAAACACAAGCCTGATATGGCCCTCAATGAAATAAGAGTTTGATACCCCCGACATAACACAATTCTGATGTTCAGAAAAAGAAAACACCAAGTAAACATGCATTTCTCTGTCTTTAAAACCGTAAGTACGCATTTATTTATTTTTATTTTTTACACGTATTTATCTCAACTATTATTATAACTGCCTTGTCAACTGCAGGGAGAACGGAAGAAAAGGTCCTTCTACCTCACTCCGGGATTTGAGTGTACTCCGTTTTGGTCTCAGGAGGACATCCTTGAAGTCCAACTTAATGTCATTATCTATGTGGGGCATCTTGGATCCCTGTAAATTAAATAAATAAAAAAAAAATTAAAGCAAAGTCCTGAAATTCGGGAACACCAAAGACAAAATCCCAACGTTTTTCTTCTCTAAACCTTTTTCCTGACAGTGAGGACAATTAATCAGTGGAACTGCCTGCCACCAGAAGTTGTGAATGCTCCAACACTGGAAGCTTTTAAGAAGAGATTGGACAGCCGTTTGTCTGAAACGGTCTAGGGTCTCTTGCTTGAGCAGGGGGCTGGACTAGAAGACCTCCAAGGCCTCTTCCAACTCTGATTCCATTCTGTTCTGTTCCATATTCTATTCTGTTCTTTCCATACCGTATTCTGTTCTGTTCTAATCTAATCTTAAATTAAATTATCTCCAATGCAAATTATTTTCCTTTGGTCGTCCCAAAGGAGCCTTTTCAAAGGTCAGTTTGACTGTCTTTGTTTTGCTTTGAAGATGTTTTGCTTCTCATTCAAGAAGCTTTCTCAGTTCTGACCGAATGGTGGAGGATGGAAGGATTTATATTCTTTTGCAGTCATCTGTTCGTTAGTACCCTGTCTGAGAGTTGTTGAGTCCATTTGGAGGTTTATGTCTACCCTCAGGGTCACCCAAATACAGGTACTCCTCGACTTACAACAGTTCATTTAGTGACCATTCAAAGTTACAATGTCACCGAGTTATGACCCTTTTTCACGCTTACGACTTTTGCAGCATCCCATGATCATGTGATCAAAATTCAGATGCTTGGAAACTGATTCATACTTATGACGTGAAGGTCATGTGATCCCCTTCTGTGAACCTTCTGACAAGCAATGGGGAAGCCAGACTCACTTAACAACCATGCTACTAATTTATCAACTGCAGTTATTCACTTAACAACTTTGGCAAGAAAGGTCGTATAAAATGGAGCAAAACTCACTTCGCAAACAACTCATTTACCGTCAGAAATTCTGGACTCAATTGTGCTCGTCAGTCGAGGACTACCTGAAATGGGTGTGAAGTGAACTGTCTTGAAGGAAATATAAAAATCCAGTTGCCTTTTGAAAAAAAAAAAGACCTTTGGGATGAATCTGCATAAATCTTCTCAATGGTGTTTGTAAGACTTTATTGCTCAAGGTAGTTAATGATAATTTTCAACTTACACTTTCAACTTTGTCACACTTTCAGCTCTCTTACCCTGGGTCAACTGTGTTGCTTTCAGGAACCGAAAGTTGCTGCCAATAAATGTTTATGACCTCCGTGTCAACATCTTCCTCGACTTCTGCATGACTATTCCCGCCATTCTAAACAAAACAAAAAAAAAACAAATAAAATTGAATTGAATTTCAAAAGTCCAGCTTTATCGCAAGTGAGTATCTCTCTTTCCCATAAATCCTTTATCATCCTAATCTCCAATCTCTTAAAACCGCTGTTACTTCAGTGCCCACAGTCACAAGATAGGGATCTTCAAACTCCTTCTGCCGGTCGTGCTAAGACTTCCTCTGCTCATGCTAAGAGTTCCACAGGGCGCAATCGCTTCGTCCCAAACCGGGAAGCTTCGGAGCCACCTCTCTGGGTGGGCTTGGACCACTTAAATCTCTTTGAACAGCTCTTGGATCCAGGGAAGCCTTGGTTGGTGGGATTACAACTCTCATGTGCCCCAGCCAGCACAGCTCATGGGAACTGTAGTCCTAAACTACCTGGAAGGCATGAGATTGGGGAATGCCAAATTAGCCAGTGTGTATGGACCTTGGACATTTAAAGGTGGGTGGACTTCAATTCCCAGAATTCCCCAGCCAGGCATACTGGCTGGGGAATTCTGGGAATTGAAGTTCACCTATCTTCAAGTTGCAAAATTGGGAAACAATGGGCTTAAGCCATGCCAGCCTTGCACCCCAACCCAGAATCCACAGTTTGGATCTCAAAGCTGGCATCACACCCCAATTGACCTATTTTTAGAATGCGGGGTACATAAGGGGGTACACAAACCCCACTTCCGGTTCGCTTCCCGCCCGCTTCCGGTCTTTTGGAGCTCCCCGAGCGGGGGATAGAAGCGACTACGATCCTCTCTCGGCTTCCAAAGTCTCCGCTAAGCCCTTGAAGCTGGCTGCCGTTCGCTTTTAACGGAGGAGCAATGCCTTACGGGAAACGTAGTTCTTCCTCTAAGTGTCTACAAAGCCCACAAGGGCTGTTATAACTACAGCTCCCACAAGGGAGCGCGCTCAAACGGGATGACGTCACGCGCAGAGGAAACCGTAAATCGGCCTACTACTTCACAACATCGGCGCTCTCTTTCTTTTAAAAGCCTCCTATCAAAAAGAAGAGCCGTGACAGAATCGCGGGGCATGCTGGGAAACGGAGTCCCCGCTCCATTTAAATCATGGCGGCCCTAGCGAGAAAAAAACAGTGTCTCCCATAATACAGCGCGACAGCGGCGGAAGAATAGATAGCATTCTCTCCTGGGCTTTGATTTATGACTTTTTTTTAAAAAAAAAAAGACGGAAGTGACGTCACAAGCGACAGGAAACAATCCGTCCGGAGCGAGGAAGCCAGTTCCGTTTCCGAGGTCGGAGGTTGGGCGGCGCTGAGGCACCGGTGCAGGCGGGCGAGCGAGCGAGACAAGCGGCCACGATGCTCATCAAAGTGAAGGTGAGGCGGCAAACTCCGGCGGAGGGAGCCGCGAACGGGCCTATCCAAGTGCGCTGAGTCACGGCATCCCTGAGAGCGGCGGCCGCTGTGCATTATGGGTGGCTCTGAGGAGCCCGCTGCTTTTTCTACCTCAGCCGGCACGCTCCATGCCGTGACGGGCGGCCTTCCTTAGCGCCAAAACGGTTGGTGGCTACGCCTCATACCTAAGGCGTAGGTTGTGTCAAGGAACACAATCCCCACAAAAAGGCACCGCAACCCCAGTGATTTAACCTCCTTCGGTCGAAGCCCGAGCTTATTTAGGATATTTCTCAGAAAAAGACCCGCTAATTGGACGACCCAACGTAAATTAGTCACTGATCTACAACATTAGTGCAGCTAGTCCTCGGCTTATGACGGCAGTGGGACCCGTTGCTAAGTGAGCCGGTTGTGCAGCGAGTTAATTTGCCGTTGCTAAGCCACATGGTTGTTAAGCGAATCCGGCTTCCCCTTGGACTTTACTTGCCGGAAGGTCGCAAAAGGGGGGGGCGAAATCACATGCCCCCCCCCATTGTGACTGTCGTAAATAGGAGTCGGTTGCCCAGTGCCTTAATTTTGATCACGTGACCACTGTAGATGCTGCAACGGTCGTAAGTGTGAAAAACGGTCATAAGCCAGCTTTGAATGGTCACTAAATGAACGGTTGTAAGCCAAGGACTGCCTGTAATCAGATGGTTGCCAAAAGGGGTTCAGATTTTGTGCCTTGGGAAAAGTTGCAAGGGAAGAAGCAGGCATAAATAAATCACGTACGGTAGAAATTCAGCAGCATGTGGAGTGTGAAGGATGTGTGTTTATTTTCATGGTCATGATGTGCACTAAAGATGGTGTTTGATTTCATTGTTGTACGAGGCGCAATGACAATAAAGTAAACTAAAGTGGAGCTTAATTATTGACAACAACGATATAATAGTAATAGTAGTAATAATAATAGTTATAGTACATTTACCATGAAAATAAGAACGGGTCTTATATTTGGGGGGGGCTCCAAAATAAGCAACAGGGCTTATTTTCAGGGGATGTCTTTTTTTTTCCATGTACAGGAGGCAGCAAGTGTAGTGGCCGACGGGAGTGGGAGCGCTGCTACTGCTGGGCTGGTTCTCCATTCACTCGTCACCTCAAGTGCTGGCCATGCCTACCACCTGGGATGATGATGACCTTCACTAGGTCTTATTTTTGGGGTAGGGCTTATATCAGGCTCCCTTAAAAAATCTGGCAAGGACTTATTTTCAGGATAGAAAACATTGGGGCGGGGGGAAACATGGTAATAATAATAGTACATTTTAAGAAGATACTTGGTTGATACCCAGAATGCTGGCCGCATCCCGTACCAACCACCAGAGCCAGTCAATAATATTTGTGATACATTTTAAAATGTTTAGTTGACTGAGTTTCATGTTTAATGAATAAAAGTTTATAACAGTAATAATAATCCAGAGTCGAAGAAAAAGAACTGGGAAAAAAATGAAATATTGCGACCCGGCCATCAAAACTACATGATTATGGATGAAACGTGTAACAGTGGTATCCAAGAATTTTATAAAATACATCAAGAAATTGCAGTTTCCTGCAATAACACCTGCAGAGGTTCAAAAAACTGTGCTACTTGGAATATAGTACATTTTAAGAAGATACTTGGTTGATATCTAGGATGCTGGCAGCAACCCATATCAACCATCAGAGCCAGTCAAGTAGTATTTGTGATACATTTTATCACAAATATCACAAAATACAAAGACCTACAAATAGAAATAGAACAACTATGGCAAAGGCAAGCAAGGGTAGTACTAATAGTAATAGGATTCTGGGTGCAGTCAGAACACCATAGGCATTGACAAATTTGCTATCAGTCAATTGCAGAAGGCAGCCTTACTTGGAACAGCTTCCATCCTGCAGCAATATCTGTAACACCATCAAACATCCAGATTTGCCTATCCCAGGTCCTCGGTAAGGACTCAATAGGTAGACAAAAATGCCAAACCCAGCCTGAACATCTGGCTGACTGTGTGATGAGTAATAATAATAAAAATAAAAACAATAATATATTTGCCAACTGGCATGGGATAAAGTGGGGTCACATTTTGGAGGTGGCAAAGTAGCTTAGTGCAAGATCTCACTTCCACGCTGTGTACACATTGTTTTCTCTTGAATATTAATCTTAATGTTTTAATGTTTGATGTTTTCATGTTTTAATCCTATAATTGTTTTATTCTGTTATTTATGGTATTGTGAGTCACTTGATAGAAATGGGTGGCATTCAAATTTAATAAATAATGTAACAATTGATGATAATGACCAAAAAAAGTCTGGATAGTAGACATGGCAGCTCTTGCAGGCAGCAGGAGAGAAGAGAAAGAACTGTAGAAGGTAACAAAATACAAAGACTTAGAAAGAGAATGACTGTGGCAAAAGAAAGCAAAGGTAGGACCAATAATGCTAGCCACTTTGGGTGCAATCCCAAAAACATCTGGAACACCTCTTGAACGCCATTCGGCATTGACAAAAATCCCCATCGGTCAATTGTAAAAGGCAGCTTTACTCCGAATAGCTTACATCCTGTGACAATACCTTCAACGCCATCAAATATCAGCATCCAATACTTGAGGGAGGAGAGGGTCAAGCTATTTTCCAAGGCACCCGACGGCCAGACAAGGAACATTTGGCTGACGGTGCAACCAACTAAAATAATCATACATTGTCATCTCGCATTCTCATATACGTTTGCATATAAATTGCTTTAAGATCTTTGTTTATTTATCAAATTGTATTTGCTATCCATCTCATGAGTCAGGTGACTCTGAGTGGCTTGTTTCTTGGTTTATCAACTAAAACAGGTCGTTGGGCTACAAAGCAACTACTGTTCATCCACCAGACACTCTTATCCTTTAGAAGGTGGAGGATTCTCACCGTTTCTAACTTTTAATCATACTTTTGATTTTCCCCTGGCATTTTCTCCCAGGTTCCGGCAAAGGAGAGTGAAACCCCGCCTTGCTTCATCAATCTTGTCATCTTTTGTCTTTCTGGCTAAATGTTATTGATTTTATTGTAATGGTTGGGAACTGTCTGGAGGCATTGAAAGTCAGAGAACATACAGTTGTTTTATTGTTATTGTTATTATTTTACTCAACTCCTGGCATGCTGCTGTGTTTTCAAACTCATCCGAATTCAGATGAATTGCATATATTTTGTTAGCCTTAAGTACTCTTTGATTCATTCAGCTCAGCATCCTTTGTAATCACTAGAAAATATTACTTGCTGGCCAAGCCTGTGAAAAGATTGCCCTGGGTTTCTCTACATCCAAAGCAGCCTTCCAGAAGGAGGAATGAAAAAAAACGACTTAATAAAAATTCATTTAATGAAGAGAAGGACTAGGGGGTGACACTAGGGGCAATGTTCCAGTGTTTGAGGGGCTGCCCCAAAGAAGAGGGAGTCAGGCTTTTCTCCAAAGCACCTGAAGGCAGGACAGGAAATGAGGGATGGAAACTAACCAAGGAGAGAAGCAACCTGGAATTAAGGAGAAATTTCTTAACAGTGAGGACAATTAACCAGTGGAACAGCTTGCCACCAGAAGTTGTGGGCCCTTCATCACTGGAGGTTTTTTAAGAAGAGACTGGACAAAGATTTGTCAAGAACAGTACAGGATCTCTTCCTTTAACAGGGTTGGACTAGAAAACCTCTAAGGTCCCTTTCAACGCTGTTACGCTATTATTCTGAATACTGATTCACTAAATGACCGTCTTCCTCTGTTCTTTGAAATTCTGTCCATATTTTTGAATTCAAAGCATTAACAGCCACTAAATCAAAGGTGATGGACAGGCAAAATCTGGAGGCCTAAATCTAATTAATAGGTTGGAGAGAGAGTCATTTTGGATGTTAATTACAAGCCAGCTCTTCTGAGAGGCGCAGCTAGTAATTAAAAGATGTGAGGGCTCCCTCTGTTAGCTATAAACGCCAGCAAAATTTCTAAGCATGGTGTGATCTAAGCCAGAATGCCGATGAATGAAATAATCTTTTTTATTTGTGCATAAGCCAGGAAAGTCCCCCGGAGATACAAAGTTCCACCCCCATCTCTCTTTAGAACCGAACCAGAGTGGGATTCTGCAGAGGAAGTGGACAGTGATGGCTTGATGAAACCTTTTTTTCTCCTTTCCTTGCAGACGCTGACCGGGAAAGAGATAGAGATAGATATCGAACCGACGGACAAGGTATCAACCCTCAGAGGAATGGGGTGGGTTTTAATCTTGCTTGACTATCCTTGCTACGTGTCCTACTTTGCCTCCAAATGCAGTTCACCCACAAAGCCATGTTTGTAGAGAGAGGAAGGGCTGTGTTTGAGGCTTCTGTGCAAAGGAGGGGGAATTCCTCCACCACGGCCCCACCCCTTCTTTCTGCAAACTTTATAAAGCCTTATTAAGGCCACATCTGGAATCCTGCATCCAGTTTTGGTCATCAGGTTACAAAAAAAAAATGTTGAGACTTTGGAAAAAGTGCAAAGAAGAGGAACTGATATGATTAAAGGGCTGGATATAATATAAATGAGGATAATCTAATGTAATCTAAGCAGGGCATGTAAATTGAATGCTTCTGAGGTGATTACTGGAGACTAAAACATAATGAACGGTTGCAGGAACTGGGCTTGGCTAGTCTAGAGAAAAGAAGGATGGGCATAAGAGCAGTCTTCCAATATTTGAGGGGCTGTGTGGATTTCAACTCCCAGAATTCCCTAGCCACCTATAGTCCTCGCCTTACAATCAGACATTCAGTGACCATTCAAAGTTACGACGACGCTGAAAAAAAGTGACGTTTTTTTACACTTAGGGCTGTTCCAGCCTCCCCGCGGTCACGTGATCAGATTTGGGACGCTTGGCAAGGCACAGAATCAAAATAATAATGGCCCTTTATAAAGCCTTAGTAAGGCCACGCCTAGAATAGTGCATCCAATTTTGGTCACCGCATTTCAAAAAATATGTTCAGCCTTTAGAAAAAAAATGCAGAGAAGAGCAACGAAGAGGATTCCAGGCCTGGAGGCTAAAACCTACGAAGAACGGTTAGCAGGAATTGGGGGTGGCCAGTCTAGAAAAAAGAAGGACTAGGGGGATGTGACAGCAGTCTTACAGTATTTGAGGGGCTGCCACAAAAAGGATGTCCGCCTATTCTTCAAAGCACATGGAGACAAGAAACAAGGAATGAAAACTAATCAAGGAGAGAAGCAACCTGGAATTAAGGGAAAACTTCCTAACAGTGAGTACAATTAACCAGTGGAACGACTTGCCACCAGGCATTGTGGATGCTCCATCACTGGAAGAGGTTGCACAGTCATTTGTCTGAGATGCTACATAGGGTCTCCTGCTTGAGCAGGGGACTGGACTAGCAGACCTCCAAGGCCCCTTCCAGCTCTATTCTGATTGATTGGTCTTCAGATAACTTCAGGGAAGGGAATTTAGCCATGATCACAGAGAAACCACCCCTTCCATAGACCCCAAAGTGCTTTTTCAAGAGGCAACTGGACTTCCTGGTGGTGGTTTTTCTTCGAAGACCTTTCGCTTCTCATCCAGGAAGCTTCTTCAGGTCTTCATAGAATGATTCAGCCGCTTTCTACATCCTTAAATTCATCTTCCCCTCTTAACTTGCAATTGTTGGCGAAACTTCCTTCTCAGTCTTCTTTTCACACAATGGTTTCCTTCATTGAGTGACACTTTTTCCAGAACCTCTCTTCATCCCCCACCAGACCCTAAGATGTTAATGACTGCAAGTGCATCCACCTGGATGGGAATCCCAGCCACTTTCCTAAGCCCTCAGGTAGTTCCTGGGGAAGCTCTTCTGACAATGGTCAGATGTTGATGGCCTACACAGGAGCAGCTTTGAAAAGCGGCCATAGGTTGTAGAGAAGATGCTTGGGTGCTGTCTTGGAACAGAATCAAACATTACAGCAATGATTCTCAATCTTGGGAAGTGGAAGATGGGTGGACTTCAACTCCCAGAGTTCTGTGGTCATCTTCAAGTGGTCAAGCTTGAGAAATACAGTATGTTAAGGGACGCTGACGCTTTGTGAGTTTCAAAGAATTTGCCATTGGTCTTCCCAGGCATGAGCCGAACATCTAAAACAGTGTTTTTCAAACTTGGCAATTTGAAGATGGCTGGCTGGCTAGCTGGGGAATTCTGGGAGTTGAAATCCACCCGTCTTAACGTTGACAAGGTTGCAAACGCTGGTCTAAAGTCGCCCCGTGTTGCTTGTTGCAGCCCTTCCCTCCTCCCAACCGGTGGAAGTTGAGAGTTGTTCTACGGGGAAAATTGACCTTACTCTCTTTTACTCCCTTTCTCTGTTCCCTTTCAGGTGGAAAGAATAAAAGAGCGGGTGGAAGAAAAGGAAGGCATCCCGCCTCAACAGCAGCGACTCATCTACAGCGGGAAGCAAATGTGAGTTTCAAGGTGGAGAGTCATCATGCCGGCATAGTTTTTAATCCTGGGGAGGGACATGAAAAAAATGTGAAAAAAAGCCCATCAAACGAAACCAAGCCGAGAATGCTTTGAAAAGCAAGGGAACCACAGTTTGCAACCTTCCCTGCAAAGGAGCAGAGTCATTGGGGAAGTCGGTGGGAAGTCGGATGTCATGATCCCATGAGGTCCTCACTTAACGCCCCGCATGGTCCTTGTTCAACAAGGGCAACTGGGACCTATTGGGATTGCTGTCTCTCTTCCCATGCAGCCAGGTGAACATCCCGCTTTATGACTGCATTGCTTGATGACAAAAATTCTGGTGCCAATGCCGGTCATTAAGTGAGGGCTAGCTGTAATTTGAGCCTGCTGAGGCTGGAGTGACAAGTCTGGATTGATTCGTTTCATGAAACCATTGGCTTGTTTTATTAGCCATCCAAGAAAACCTATCCATTCCTCCTTTATATATTATATAGTTTCCTCTAATCCACTGCAATTTAACAAAACCCAGAAACGAAAATTGAAATAACGATAAAAGAATCTTTTTCTTGGGTGGCCCTAAACGTGCTCTGGGAATTCACGTTTTTCTGTGAAGGTTCTTTGATAAGATCAATGCATGCACGCTCCTCAATTTACAACAGTTTGTTTAATGGTTTACGGCCATTTTTCACACGTATGACCATGTTTAACACTTACAATGTTGCAGCATCTCCGAGATCACATGATCAAAATTCAAACACTTGGCAACTGACTCATATTTATAACGATCACAGTGTCCCAGGAGTCAGGTGATCGCCTTTTGCGACCTTCCGACAGAGTCCAGGGGCAAGTCAAGATTCATTTAACAACCGTGTTCCCAACTTAACAACTGCAGTGATTCACTTAACCAACTGCGGCAAGAAAAGGGGTCAAAATTTCACTTCACAAATGTCTCATTTGGCAGCATAAATTTGGGGGCCCAATTGTGGCTGTTAGTCGAGGACTACCTGTAATACAGGGACCCAAAATAGGAACCTCCACCTACGTGCCATTTAAAAGACACACAATCACTGCAGTTCTTAAATGGGTCACGGGGTGGTTCAGTAAATCCGGTTTCCCCCCCGGTTGACCTTGCTCGTCCGAAGGTCGCAAAAACGGATCACGTGACCCCCGGGACGCTGCAGCCGTCATAACTATGATTCAGTTGCCAAACGTCTTAATTTTTGATCACGCGCATGTGGGAATGTTGCAACGGTTTTAAGTGTGAAACGTGGCCGTAAGCCTCTTTTTTTCAGTGCCCCTGTAACTTTCAACAGTCATTAACGGAAATGATGTAGACTTCCTGTAAATGAAATCTTTCTTTAATTCCCTTATTTCTTTGAGTGGAAAATCTAAATTCGCTTACATATCGATGCTATCAACTATATTTTCTCAAGTTAATCAATCATCATCTTTTAACCAACCTAGAATGCCTCGCGGGGTGGAATCTGGGCAACTGAATGGAGCTGGAAGAATATGTTTTAATGGCCGGATGCCCTTCCTATTACCAATGGGGAGTTTTTGTTCAGCAAATATATTCTCAGGGTGCCCAGAGAGAGAAATATCTGCTTCTACCTAGGCTCGAACCAGATCTCTAATAGACCCTGGGAATGATATAACAGTCCAGATCCCCAAAATAGGGGTTCACCCCTGCTTTTCTCTCTCCCCCGCCCCCACAGGAACGATGAGAAAACGGCCGCCGACTACAAGATCCAGGGTGGCTCCGTCCTCCACTTGGTCCTAGCCTTGCGCGGAGGCCTGCGATGATGGTGCCCCCGGCGCTGCTGCACTACCCCCCTTTCGTCAAAGACCCCGGATGTGGGTTAGCCTCACACACCCCCTCGAGTTGTCATGGGAGGCCCGTTGGGTTCAAATCCCAGACGGGCTGCCTGGCATCGCTGCCTCCCCACATGTCTGTTTATTTGCAAACTGTCATTCTAGAGGCTGGGGGGAGAATTATTTTGGGGGGATGGGGTGCTTTTTTTTTTTTTTTTTTGAGTTACGGGGGTGCGGCCTCCCTCTGGCCACAGGTGGATAAGGAGGCATCTGCTGTTTTTCACCCCCCGGGATCCAGAGCCCCTTTCCCCATCATCCCCGCCATGTCGTGGCTAATAAATGTTCAATAAACACTTCACAATCGTCACTGTTTCATTTGTGTCTCCTGGTTCTGCAGGGTTTCTGGGGTGTATTTGTGTGTGTGTCTTGGGTCGCCTTTCCTAAGTCCTCGAAATATGACCGTAATCCTCAATTTACAACCGGTCGTTTAGGAACGGCTTGAAGCTAAGAAGGAAACCCCCCCCCCCCCGCCCCAAACTACTGAAGACCAAGTTTCGACTCACAAACACACATAGCCCTGTTGCATCGCCAATCTGCGCACTCGACAACCAGACTGCCTCGGCCGCCATTTTCTGCCTCTCGTGGTCATGTGAGGATATTTTACGTCATCTCACATCTGGCTTCATACAAACGTCCATTGGAGGCAATCAGTTCAGTTAACCTCATGATTCGCTTAATGACCATTGTAAAAAATAAAAAATCAAAACCCTCTACGGTCTTTCAGTGAGCTGCTTAACAACCTGCACATCTTAATTCTGGACTGAAATTATGGTATAAGGTGAGGACGACTTAACATTTGAGTGGAGAAACTTAAAATATATTTTCATTATTGGGGTGACACAAATTTGGGGAAGAGTTTAACTTCTCTTTAAAAAAACCTGGGATTTTTATATCCTGCTCTTGCTTTGTACAATTGCAGATGTTTTTATTTATTTTTTAAAAAATGGGATATCCTCGGTGACACAACCGTCAGCAACTCACGTGATGGGCAAAGCGCCTGATCAAAGACATTCAGCTGCCCTTTGTGCTAAAGTGGGACTCGAACTCACTGCCCCCTGGTAATTGGCTATAAAGGGGGACAAGACCTCTCCCTCTCCTGGAGAGTGGCAAGAGACGAGCATATATTAAGCGGACCCTCCTCTCTCCCACCTTTGATCCTTGCTCCTCTTCATCACTGAACCCCACACTCCCCTTAGCCCTGACGATGTTCCTTAGTTGGGTCATGAAACGTCTTCATTAAACAAAATGTCTCCTGTAATCACTGATTGGAGTATGACACCTTTATATCTTTCCCCTAAAATTATAATACTTAATATAATACATAACTTCCATTCGGATTCTCCTTGGTACATTCTAAAATTACACACTATATTTTTAAAAAAGAAAAAATTATGAATATATAATATGATTAAAACAACAATCCATATCAATTCAATTCTATCGTTTATATTAATATTCATTTAAATCTTAAACATTTTACACATTACTTTTCAAATAGGTATCATGCTACTATGGGAACACATATAAACTTTCCATAGTTGCTTCCTGGGGTGGGATGGGGTATCTTGAGTAACCTTTGCTAAGTCCTCGACGTACGACCGTAATCCTCAATTTATGACCGGTCACTTAGGAATGGTTCGAAGCTAAGACGGAGCCCCCCCAGATGGTCCAGAAGACCAAGTTTCAACTCACAAACGCACACAGCCTTGTTGCATCGCCATTTGCGCGTTCGACAACCAAACTGCCTCGGCCGCCATTTTCTACGTCTCGTGGTCATGTGAGGATATTTTACGTCATTTTACATCTGCCTTCCGACAAACGTCTATTTCAGGCAATCGGTTCACTTAAAATCATGATTCGCTTAATGACCATTGCAAAAAAAAAAAAAATCAAAACCCTGTAGGGACTTTCAGTGAGCTGCTTAAAAACCTGCACACCTTAATCGAAATTCTGGACTCAATTTATGGCCTAAGGTGAGCATTACTAACATCTGAGTGGAGAAAGTTAAAATATTGATATTTTCATTCTCTAGGTGACAAAAATTTGGGGAAGATCCACTTTCAAGTTTAAATTCTCTTTTTAAAAAAACCTTGGTTTTTTGGGCTTATATCCTGCTTTTCCTTTGTACAATTGCAGGTGTTTTTATTTATTTTTTTAAAAAATGGGACATCCTGGGAGACACAACCGTCAGCAACTCACGTGATGGGCAAAGCGCCAGATCCAAGACATTCAGCTGCCCTTTGTGCTAAAGCGGGACTCGAACTCACTGCCCCCTGGTGATGGGCTATAAAGGGGGACTAGACCCCGCCCTCTCCTGGTGAGTGGCAAGAGACGAGCATATAATAAGCGGACCATCCTCTCTCCTACCGTTGATCCTTGCTCCTCTTCATCGCTGAACCCAACACTCCCCTGAGCCCTGACGATGTTCCCTAGCTGGCTCATGAAACGTCTGCCAGAAAATCACCCGACTCAGAGGGAACCAATCACCTCCCCCCCCCCGACACACACCCAATCCTTTCTTTAGCGACCGTTCTGAGCGATGACAGACGTGCTGGAGAGGCGGGGTGGGGGATCCAGCAGCCCCGCCCTCTGGGGATTAGGGGAGTGGGAGCGATTGACTGGCCTGGGTGGTCGAGGGGAGGGGGGAGCTTGGGGAAGGCAGGAGGGTCTTTGTTGAAGACCTTGGACTGCCCCTGGTCAGAAATGGTGCAGAGTCTTCTGCCTAAAGGCTGGGGTTGGACTAGATGACCTGCAAGGTCCCTTCTTAATCTGCTAATGGAGAGTGAAGCCGGTCCGCCTTCTGGGCGGGGGGAAAAGAAACAAGTTGAAATCATTGGTCTATTTTCCTGGGGAGGGGAGGGATAATCTTGGAAGGAGGGAGCGGTTGGGCAGGCACCACCCCTACACCTTAACGGACTCCATCGAGGGCTGTTCTGACCGGCTGAGGACCCGGCCTCTTCATTCGACCCCCACTTAACCCTGGCGAGGAAGGGGCCCCCTGCAGAGATCAAAGCACAAAGCGGCTGAACTGAGGCTGGTAATCCCAGCGGCAACAGCGGCCACCACCATCACCGCCGCAAGGGGAGGAGAACCTGCCTCGGCCACTCCAAGATGGCCACCCACGCCCGGCCAGCTCCATCCCCCCCAGCGAAAGGATACTGGAGATCGTACATGGGTCCATTTCACGTCTTCAGGGAAGCCAGTGACCTTCTGGCTTCAGTATCGGACAAGAGGAGAAGAGCATTTTTCCTGAGCTCCTGTGGACGGGACGTCTTCCAAACGGCTATGGGCCTCTCAGCACCAACACACGTGCAGGCAGTTCGTGGGAGGGAGCTTCATGACACGCTATGAGCACATTATGCACCCCCAGCACCAGCCTTGGTCACATGAGTTTCTCCCCAGGGATCAAAAAGGCAGTGAGACAGTCTATGACTTTGTGGCATCCCTGATAGAAATGGCAGGCGACTGCAATTCAGCGATCTGGAGGAGGAAAGGATGCGAGAGGGGCTCCTTGCGGATATAAAAGAATTAAGCCTACGAAGGCGATTAATGGTTCAGGTTGATCTCAGGTTCCAAGCCACCCTAGATGAGGCCAAACCGAGTGAGTCCCCCATGAGGTCAGACAGTGCCATTCGGATTTCAAGGAGTGGCCATCCCTCGGGCAGAGCGGACACCGTGCATCACGAGAGCATGGAATACGGACACAATACAGCCGTGGGTGACAAAATCCACCGCACTTGTTCCAAAGAGAAGGAAGGGAGTCCAGGAACGGGAGAGAGTCGCCTCTTTGGTGTCACATGTGGGGGCAATCCCCCCAGAGCAGCAGGCCGATCCAAAGACGCCACTTACTCAAGATGCACAACGGAACGGGCACACCGTTTCTGAGGCACCAGCGAGGAGACAACAAAGTTGCAAGCACAAAGTAGCCCCACAAACGTTTGTCAACTACTACAGCGCCCAATGCTCCAAGATATTCCACACCACCGTCGACCTTGAGGGATCACTGGGTGATATGGTGGTGGACACAAGTTCGTATATGACCCTCGTGTCCTGGCCAACTATTAAGAAGGCCATTCTGGGCTTTACAAGGAACAGCTAAAGCAACAGAAAATATTGCTAAAGGACCGTCAAGGGATCCTCATCCCTGTCCTGGGGAGGGGCTCCTTCCAGATTAAATTTAAAAGTTTTGTCGGGTGAACGGAGACCTGCCAAACCTTCTCCGCTTAGAATGGTTCGATGTCCTGGGTCTGGAAGTGACTGCCGTCCTCGCCGACCAAGACGAGAGCATCGAGGAGGAGCCGGTCACGGCATTCGCGGACGTCCATAGTGGGAGTCCAGGCAAGTATAGGATGAAACATTAAAACCCTTGGTCTGTGTCCCCCCACCGGGGAAAAAAGACCAATCATTTTAAATTTAAATGTTGCATAAGCGCACGAACGTCCCTTCCGTTCCTGTCCAATTGTTTTTGTATTCTTATATATATCCCTTTCATGTATTCATAACTATTTTTATACTTGTACCTGTTATCTTAAAATCTCTTGAAAGAATAAATAAATAAAAACAAATAAATTATTTCTTTTCCCTCCTAGAAAACAGACCGGATTGAGATCATTGTTCCTTGGCTACACTCTCCATTAGCATACGCAAAAGTCTTCCTCCTCGACTTACAACATTTCCCTTAATGACCCTTAGAAGTTACAACTGGACGGAGAAAAAAGGGGACTTGGGACCAACGTTTCTTACCTAACAACCGATGAAGCCTCCCGAGCAAGCCAAGTTCCCTTAAACCACCATTCCTGGCCACCGGATTTCTCATATGCCTTGAATTGAATGGAGAAAAGCCCACCTATTGAATTCTGGGAGTTGCAGCTCAGGCGCCTGACTAGGGGATTCTGGGAGTTGAAATCCATCCATCTTCACGGGGCCCAGCTTGGAAAAGGCGGCATGTGTGAGAGGCTGAAGCTCTGTGAGTTCGCTTGATGGTCCCCCCAGGCATGAGCTGAACATCCGAAACCGGGTTTTTCAACCTTGGCAATTTGAAGGTGGCTCTCTGGGGAATCCTGGGGGTTGAAGCCCACCTTTGTGACATTGTCCAGGTTGCCAAACACGGGTCTAAAATCGCCC